TAACAGGCCACCAGATCCAACTATATGTCTGGAAGAGATACACTTATCTAAAGACACATAAAGAACATACACTTATCTAAAGACACATAAAGAACATAAAAGAATACAAAAAGACAGACTGCAAATAACAACCACAAAAAAAGCTGGAGTAATTATACTACTATCAGATAAAATAGACTTTTTAGAAAGGTATATTACTAAAGATAAAGGGGGAACATTTCATAATGATAAAAGGATCAATTCATAAGAAAAGCAAAATAATCCTAACCAATAACTATATATTCTCTTAACACCAGAGCTCAAAATTCATGAAGCAAATAAATAAATTTATAGCTTCAAAAGCTTAACTTGGAAAAGGTTGGAAAAGGTAGGTAAAGGGTGCCTAAGGGTGCCTGGGTGGCTCAGTCTGTCTGCCTGGAATCAAGCCCCACATCAGGCTCCCTGCTTAGCAGGGAGTCTGCTTCACCCTCTCCTTCTCCCTCCCTCCCACCCCCACTTGTGTTCTTTCTCTCTTAAATAAATAAATAAATAAAATCTTTAAAAAAAGAAAAAGTAGATAAAGTTCCACCAAAAGCTAGAAAAAGAAAAGCAAAATAATGTATACGGCAAAGTCAAAAATTGGGTCTTTGAAAAATTTAACAAAATTGCCAAACCCCTAGATAGACTAAGAAAGAAAAAAGAAAAAAAAAAAAAGGATAGAAGCTGTAATTCACGAAGGTTAGGGGAAAAAGGTGATTTCAGATTCTAGATGGTAAAAGGATAATAATGGAATATTATGAGCAACTTTTTGTCAATAGATTCAATAATTTAGGTGAAATGTGAAAATTTCTAAAAAAACCCACAACGTATCAAAATTCACACAAGATAAAACACAAACTCTGAATACCTATGTATTTATCAAAGAAATTAAGTTACCAAAACCTTCTCACAAAGAAAACTGCAGGCCCAGATAGTTTCACTGGTAAATTCTATCAAAATATTCAGAAAGAAAGAACAGTAATCTTTCACAAACTTTCTGAAAATAAAGAAGAAAAATTTCCCTGATTCATTTTTTTTTTAAAGATTTTATTTATTTATTTGACAGACAGAGATCGCAAGTAGGCAGAGAGGCAGGCAGAGAGAGAGGAGGAAGCAGGCTTCTCGCGGAGCAGAGAGCCCGATGCGGGGCTCGATCCCAGGACCCTGGGATCATGACCTGAGCCGAAGGCAGAGGCTTTAACCCTCTGAGCCACCCAGGCGCCCCTCCCTGATTCATTTTATGAGAACAGTACAAAACCTGAAAAGATATTACAAAAAATAAGATTACAGACCAATATCCCTTAATATTTAATAAAATGTTAGCAAATCAAATCTCACAATATATAAAAGCCTAATAATACATTATTACAAAGCTGGGCTTATTTCAGAACAATAAGGGATAATCATATCCCTTATGGTAATCTATCATATTAACAAAATAAAGGAGAAAAGTCAAATAATCATTTATATATATACACAGGATAAGTATTTGACAAAACTCAATAGCCACTGATGATAAAAACCTTTTTTAAAATTAGGAAGGGAAAGGAATTTCCTTAATTTGATAATGGGCATCCGCAGTCTAATATCTAACTCAACGATGAAATACTGAATGCTTTTCCCCTAAAATCTAGAAGGAGTCAAGGATCAAGGATGCCTTCTCTTACTACTTGTATTCAACATCATACTGGTGGTTGAAGCAAGTGCAACAAGGCAAGAAAAAAAAGGCATAAATCTCAAAAAAGAAGTGAAACTATCTGTTTGCAGGTGACAACTGCCTATATAGAGAAACGTAATGGATCTTTGAAACAACTGGAACAGTAGTGAATTTAGCAAGATCGCAGAGTACAAGATCAATATACAAAAACCAATTGTATTTTAGTAACGGTAGCAAATAATTGGAAAATGAAACAAAACTCCATTTATAATAGTATCAAAACCATAACATGCTTAAGCATCAATTTCTAAAAACATGTGCCAGACCTGTCTACTTAATACTACAAAACCACTGCTGAGAAAAATCTAAGAAGATCTAAAAAAATGGAGAGATGATACTATAATATGCTCATGAATCGGAAGACTCAATATCACTAATACGTCAATTCTCTCCAAATTAATATATAGTCAATGTTATTGTAATCACAATCCCACCTCTTTTTCTTTTTTAAAGATTTTATTAGAAAGAGAGTGAGAGAGAGAGAGAGAGAGCCTGTACACGAGTTGCGGGGAGGGACAGAAAGAGAGAGAGAGAGAGAGAGAAGTAGACTCCCAACTGAGCAAGAAGTTCGACATAGGGCTTGATCCCAGGACCTCAAGATCATTGCCTGACTTGAAGGCAGATGCTTAACTGACTGAGCCATCCAGGCGCCCCAATCCCACCTCTTTTTTACATAGGAAGCGACAAGCTGATTCTAAAATTTAAGTAGAAATACGAAGGACCTAAAATATCTACAGCAATCTTGAAAAAGAAGAAGGAAGTTGAGAGATTAATAATACCTGACACTTCAAGACTTCCTATAAAGCTACAGTAATCAGACTGAGCATGGGTAGAGACATTATAGAGAAGTGTAACAGAACAGAGAGCTCATAAACAGACCTACACTTAAAAGGTAATTTGATTTCTGATAAAGGTGCCAAAGCAAAACAAGGGAGGGCTTTTTCAGCAAATGGTGCTGGTTCAACTGGGTATCTATGTGGAACACTCTCCTTCACACATCTACAGCGATTAATTTGAGTGGATCATATAAGACACGTAAGCACTGAAGCGCTAAAGCTTGTAGGAGAAATACAGGAGACTATCTGCACAGTTTGGGGGTAGACAAAGGTTTTATTAGGAGCAGAAGGTAATGATTAAAAAATAAAAATTCAATAAATTAGACGTCAGACAAAAACTTCTGCAAATGAGGCACCTGGGTGACTCAGTGGGTTAAACCTCTGCCTTTGGCTCAGGTCATGATTCCAAGGCAGGGAGCCTGCTTATCCCTCTCTCTCTCTGCCTGCTTCTTTGCCTATTTGTGATCTCTGTCAAATAAATAATAAAATTAAAAAAAAAAAAAAAAACCTTCTGCAAATGAAAAAGAGACCTTTAAGAAAGTGAATAGGCAGGGCGCCTGGGTGGCTCAGTGGGTTAAGCCTCTGCTTTCAGCTCAGGTCATGATCTCAGGGTCCTGGGATTGAGCCCCACATCAGACTCTCTGCTCAGCAGGGGGCCTGCTTCCCCCTCTCTCTCTGCCTACTTGTGATCTCTGTCAAATAAATAAAAACTTAAAAAAAGAAAGTGAATAGGCAAGTCACAGTCTAGAAAAATATTCACAATACATGTAACTGATAAAGCACTAGTATCCTAACATGTATCAAGAACTTCAATAGGGGCGCATGGGTGGCTCAGTGGGTTAAGCCTCTGCCTTCAGGTCATGATCTCAGTGTCCTGGGACTGAGCCCCGCATCGGGCTCAGCGGGGAGCCTGCTCCCCGCCCCCACCGCCTGCCTCTCTCCCTACTTGTGATCCTTCTCTCTCCGTCAAATAAATAAATAAATCTTAAAAAAAAAAAAAAAAGAATTTCAATAAGTGAATCATAAGACAAGCAACTAATAAAAATGGCAAAAGATTTCAACAGACACATCACCAAAGATATCTGAATGATAAGAACACAGAAGAGCTGCTCAATAGTAGAAGTCATCAAGGAAATACAAAAGAAAAACAAAATGAGATGTCTTTCTCTACACTCCAGAATACTGCCAACCTGTGGACAAGAATGTGGAACAACATGAACTGTTGTCACTGCTGGTGGGAATATAAAAACACCGTGCAAAAGGGAATGACAGTTTAAAAAAAAACAACTAAGTACCTTCCCCTGGACCCAGCGATTCATTCCTAGGGATTTATCTGAGAGAAATGGCAAGACATGTCCTGAAAAAGACTAACACAAGGATACTCAGCTTTATTCAAGATAGCCAGTAACTGGGAACAGGTAAGGTAACCAATGGAAGAATGGACAGATTGTGGAGCAGTCCTCCCAACAAATTACCACTCAAAAAAGGGACGAACTACTCTGCCCATGACAATGTGGATGGATCTCAAAAACACGCTGAGAGAAACTTTACAAGATTATACATCGGATAATTCCATTTGTAAGAAGCTCTAGAACAAACAAAATTAATCTATGGTAGAAAAATACACAGATTAAGGTTGTCTCCATGCATGGGGGCAGAAAAAGACTATGAAGGGGCACAAAGGAACTTTAAACAAAATACTGGACTTCAGTTAGTATTCATGCTGAAGTATTTAGACATGCTGATGTCTACAACTTACTTTGAATACATCAAAGAATAAGATTGATAGAGGGATGAATACATACACAGAGATACTATCTAGGACATACAGAAAAACGTTAACTGAAGTGGATATATGGATGTTCCCTGAATAATTACTTCAACTGTTCTCAATGTTTTAACTTTTTCATAATAAAATGTTGGGGGAAAAATAATGTTTTCACTTCCCCTGCTCTCTCACATTGCCTGTACTAAGTCGCACTGAATTTGTAGGAAGTAAGCCAGTTTTGGGGGTGGGGGGATAAGCTGTTCTGAGCCATGATTTTATCTAAAAAACAAAGCAAAAAACCATGTTAAACCACGTGAACACAGGAAATAAACCAAACTACTGCTTCCCACCAAAGAATGAATTGAAATGCATACTGACTTTAGCTTCATATAGAATATGTCATGACTCTGGCTCCAATGAGAGAAGTTCCAGTTTCTAAAGATGGGCGTCTGCCTTGACCACAGCCTTTGACACAAGAAAATACATTCTTGTGCTAAGCTTGGACACTTAGGGTGAAATGCAAGGCTCAGGCAATGGCAACAAAAGGAAACAAAAAATAATGTCAAGAGAAACTCCTATTACTGTTAAGGAAGGGTAGTCACTTAACAGATTACAGATTCAATGTTTGTACCCTCAAGAAAACATTTTTGGGTTTCATTACCTTTATCAAGAGATGCCCCAGCCATATGGTAAAAGCTTAATGCAGTGTCCACATCATTAATATTCTTTAGGAAAGTAAAGAAGTTCTCCACTTCCTGAAATGTCAGACCCTGAAAGAAGAGAGACAGCAAGATCAGGCAGGAACCTGTAACAAAAAGCAGCTCAAAATGCAAAGAAGTAGGCAGTTATTCATGTCTATAAGTCAGAAATTTATGCTATGTTTGGAACAGAAACTGCATAAATTCATCAAGAAATGCCTAATTTGTATACAACAAGGGAACACAACTCTAGAATTTTACCCTGAGAAAGGCAAGCTGGGTAACTGCTTTCCCCTCCCATGTAAAATCTGACATGAAGCTGTTTACAGTGATGGCTGGATATCTTTAATGAAAATATTTCTAAATGTGCCTTCCAATTAGTCACAGTATCTATTACGACATTTCCTAAATGAGCTTCAGCCTCTTGATCTATTTATTACACATTATACACCTTAACAAGTTGGACTGGAGTCAGGACTTCCATTTTAATAATCTACCCTTAGGCCAGCTAAGCTTTTTGAGGCTTAAGTTAATTAAAAAACACCAGAGTCAGTGATACACAGGCGAACGGTTTGACTTGGGAAGCTGTTCATTATATCAATCTAAAAGCTACTAACGAAGCAATTTGCCACTTAACTTTAATTGGATAAAATTCTCTGAATGAAGAAGCTCTGTTCAAAAGCTTCTCCTAGGATTTGCTGATCTCCGATTTGACTTTCTCTGACGGCTGGAGAGAGAGTAGCTGTATAACGAGGGGCAAAGGAGTCTCCCTACAGGGTGAGGATTGCTCCTATTTGACTATTTCCCACTTCTCACACATCACGCTGAAATGGAAATGAATACAATTCCTAAGAGGTGAGTAACACTGGAGAGAAGCTGAGGTGAATGGCTTTTAATGAAGCATCAGGTCCTTAACATTGCACATGCTGACTGGGCTCTACTGAGCGCTGCCCCTCTTCCAATCTCCATTTCCCCAGACTAGAGAGCCCTGCAATCCACTTCATTACTGACAGTATACAGTTCTTTTCTGGTACTCTCCAAACTGGGTCAATGGTCTCTTTCTCATTTAATCAATCAAACGAAGAGCTAAAATACTGTATGTGTGATTATGTCACACTATCTTTTATAATTTTCCCTAGAATAATAGGAGCTAAAAAACTTCTTATTGTGGACTATGATGACCATATAGGAAGCTGCATAAAATATAAATGTACAAGAAGCTGCTGTACAATGAACACCCAGAGAACCTCCACTGAAGTCAAGGAACAGACTATCACCAGCATCCCTGAAGCCTTCGGGTCTCCCCTCGAGATATCCCGTCTCAGTCATAAGCCCCTTTACTCAGTGTTAATCACTATTCTGACTTTTAGCGGATTCATTGCCTTCCTTGCCTTTTTAAAAAATTGTGCTACTATCGGGTGAGCCTGTGTGGCTCAGTTGGTTAAACATCTGCCTTCGGCTCAGGTTGTGATCCCGGGGTCCATGGATGGAGCCCTGTGGTGGGCTCCTTGCTTAGCAGGAAGCCTGCTTCTCCCTCTCCCTCTGCCTGCTGCTTCCCCTGCTTGTGTTCTCTCTGTCAAATAAATAAATAAATAAAATCTTTTTTAAAAAAATAGCGTTACTATCTATTTATGCATCCTCAAACAGAAACAGTTCAATTACGCTTGTTTTGAACTTCGTAAATGGAGTCACACGGTATGCATCCTATTATATATGGCTTCTCTCTTTAATATTTGTCTATGTTTTGTATTCTGCAGTTAACTCATTTTTATTGTTGTGTGAATATACCACATTTTTTTAATCCATTCTGTTTGGACTGTTACCAGTTTCTGGCAATTATGCACAGTGGTACATCTGTATTTATGCATTCAAACATTTATGGACTACCTACTATGTGCCAAGTTCCATAATTTTTGGCAGTGAACTGAAAGGCTTATAGTAAATAGTTTTTCCCTAACTTGAGGCCATTCTCCTTGGCCTTGACTTAGTGTATCCGGAGATAGGACTTATTCCTTATATGAATGCCTTAGTATGCTATCTAATGGAAACACTAGGCTAGCATCAACCTTAGAGAGGAGAATTCTCTTGGACCAGAAGTACAGGCTCTATAATATCACCTGCTTGTGGATGGATACACTAATACCATCTTCTCTCCCCTCCATCAAAAGACATGCAGTGGTTGAAATGTGAGGGATTTCACATTTCATTTATACATTCACATGGATGAATGTATAAACAAAATAGAATATGATTCACCCTTTAAAAGGAAGGAAATTCTGACATAAGGTACAATACGGATGAACCTCGAAGACATTATGCCAGGTGAAACAAGCCAGTTACAAAAGGTGACATACTATATGATTCCACTTATATGAGGTACCTAGATTATTTAAGTTTACAGAGACAGAAAGTAGAATGATGGTTGCCAGGGCTGGGTGGGGGAGGGAGGAGGAACAGGGACTTTTTTTCTTTAAAGCAAGCTCTGTGCCCAACATGGGGCTTGAACTCATGACCCCAAGATCCATGCTCTATGGACTGAGCTAGCTAGGTGCCCCAGGAATTGTTGTTTAATGGGTACAGAGTTTCAATTTGGGAAGATGGATGGTGGTGATGCTTGTAAACAGTATGAATGTACTTAATGCCACTGAACTATACACTTAAAAATGGTTAAGATAAAATTCCTAAAACAAAGCACACGGTATGGGGAATGCTACCTGCTCTGACATATAAGCTCTAATGTTTGCTAGTAAATTTATTGTGAAACATCAAATACAAGAGGCCATGGTACTCATGCTGAGAATTATTTAAGGACAGAGCAAAAAATCTGAATTGAACGGCTATTCATTTGATGACTTAGAAAAACAGTGGGATACAAATCACATTAATGCCATTATTAAATTGAAATACAAAACATTTTACCTTTTATTATATAGATATAATAAAAAATATTTATTGAGCACTTCCTAACAACTCAGCACTATGCTAGGAACAGTGAGGGAAATAAAATTTCTTTGGACATGGGCCTTGGACATTTTATAGAGCTTACAATTTAGATAGATGTCCTTAAAGAAAAGATGATGCCGGTCACAAAATTCTTATTCCTTTGTAACAACTTAGCAAAAAATCCAGAGGAGTTTATAGCAAGAAAGCTATCATAAGACTATAAGATGAGGTTTGTGGATGGAAAGTGAGAGAACGTGCTTTCTGCAAGTTGAGGTGTTCAGACTGGAAGGCATTAGCTCCACGCAGCCATCGGCAGGTGATCTGACCTGCAGAATAGAAGTCAAAAGGAAATAACCTTCCCTTAAGCATGGTATCAAGGGGAATGTCTTGATACACTATGGGGAAGTGGAAGAAAGAGGAGTTATTTTATCCTGTGACCAACTGTTCAACAAACTGGTTATCTAGCTACCTTAGGAAAGACGGACTTATATAAAACTGGACTCTAGGTGATTAAAAAATATATATATACATAGTGTGGACAGTAGAAACACTTCTTTATGTTTATTAAAACATGAATTCAATTAACATTAAGAGTTTGTTAAACAAACAAATAAAACTGTCTTTTTTTATTTAAAGGTTTTATTTATTTATTTGAGAGAGAGAGCATGAGCAGGGAAAGACGCAGAGGGAGAGCTAGAAGCAGACTCCCCGTTGAGCAGGGAGCCCATCGGATGTAGGGCTCAATTCCAGGACCCCGGGATCATGACGTGGGCCAAGGCAGTTGCTTATTGACTTAGCCACCCAGGTGCTCTTAGAGTTGTCTTTCAAAACTAAAAGCAACTGATAGTGTTTGAAGGAAACATAAAAAAAAACTTCATAACCTTGAATAAGACAAAGAGTTCTTAGATATGACACCAAAAGAACAATCCATAAAAGAAAAAAAAATAAATTAAGACTTCATCAAAATTAAAAGCTTTCATGCTTCAAAATACTGAGAGAATAGGGGCACCTGGGTGGCTCAGTCAGTTAAGCTGCTGACTCTTTTTGGCTCAGGTCATGATCTTGGGGTCCTAGCATCAAGTCCCAAATTGGGCTTCGTGCTCAGCGTGGAGTCTGTTTCAGGATTCTCTCTCTCTCTCTCTGCCCCTCCCCTTGCTTGCTCTAAAATAAATAAAGAAATCTTAAAAAAAATTACTGCAAGAACAGACAAAACACAGACTGGGAGAAATATTTTAAAATATTTAAAAATCATTTATCTGATAAAGGATTTGAATCCAGAACTACGCAAAGAACTCTTACAACTCAATAATGAGAAAAAAAATAATACAATTTTAAGAAGTATCTGAATAGATGTCTCACCAAATAAGATATATTAATGGTTAATAAGTTCGTGAAACAATGCTCAGGATCATCAGTCATTAGAGAAATGCAAATACAAACCACAATGAGAAACCACTACATACCATATAGTCAGAATGACTATAATAAAAAAGGCAGACAATAACAAGTTTTAATAAAGATGTAGAGAAACTGGAACTCTCACACATTGTTGTGGAAATGTAGTACCCACATTGGAAATCAGTTTGGTGCTTTCATTTAAAAAAAAAAAAAAAAAAAAAGGTAGGGTGCCTGAGTGGCTCAGTTGGTTAAGCATCTGCCTTCAGCTCAGGTCATGATCTCAGGGGTCCTGGGACAGAGTCCCACATGGAGCTCAGTGGGGAGTCTGTGCTTCCCCCCTTCCTCTGCTACTCCCCCTATTTGTGCTCTCTCTGTCAAATAAATAAATAAAATCTTAAAAAAAAAAATTAAACTCAATTTTTCCATACAACCCGGCCATTCTACTCCTAGCAGTTTTCTTTTCTTTTCTTTTTTTTTTTTTTTTTAAGATTTTTATTTATTTATTTATTTGACAGACAGAGATCACAAGTAGGCAGGGAGGCAGGCAGAGAGAGAGGAGGAAGCAGGCTCTCCTTGGAGCAGAGAGCCCGATGTGGGGCTCGATTCCAGGACTCTGGGATCATGACCCGAGCCGAAGGCAGAGGCTTAACCCACTGAGCCACCCACGCGCCCCTACTCCTAGCAGTTTTCTTAAGAGGAAGGAATGGTTAGGTCCACATAAAGATCTGTAT